CTCTCCTCAGAGCCGAGTACATGTGGATTGAATGAAAGGAAAATGAGGTGGCTGCTCTTGTAGAGCTGAGGGCCTCATGGGGACCCAAGAGTTGGTCGTGTGGGATCCTCTGGCCGAGGCAGACACATTCCTGACTTGCAATAACTCAGTACAGCCTTCATTCCCCCCGTCTGCCAGAGCTGCTCGTCCCCAGTGTTTCTGCATCAAATTTGCTGACGTACACTCTGCCATTTTCTCAGCGGACAGGCCACCCTTTCACTTTGGTCACGTTCAGACAGAACAGTTGTCTTCCCCCCTCCCCCACACAGAGCTGCCATGTTTTGCTTTCGAGGACAGTTGACATGAGACATCAGAATAACTGATGTCTTAAAAATGAAAGAGAAACCTGGGGCAGCCCCTTGCCCCTCCTCTTCCTTCCCTCTGTGTGATCCTCACGATGACGTAGAACATGATCAGAACCAACAAGTGAGAGCCTGTCCAGTAAAGCATGTAGAAATATTAAGTTATTCAAATACTCTTTGTTGTTGTTACTTGGGTTGAAAATGCAACACCTTGAATAAGGAAAGGCAACAAGGAAGTGTGACACCCTGACAACATCGCCTGGGCCTCACCCCCCCTGCATTCTGAGCACCAGACAGATGGCCAGACGAAGCTGCCTACTTGAAACACACAGTCTGAATGAGCTAGTGAAAGTCATCAGTTTCTGTGCTAGAAGTTTCTCCTGAGAGACCCAGTCAGTGAATTCCCTGTGCTCGGCTCAGAAATTTTGGACGTAACAAGTGTTCGCTAGTTTCAGGAAAATTTGAACCATGGGGGATCCTGGGTGGCTCAGTTGGTTGAGGATCTGATTCTTACTCTAACTTTGGGGCTTGATGTCAGACTGTGATTTCAACCCTACGTTGGGCTGACTTTAAAAAAAATGTGGGTGGATCTTACTTTAAAACAATGGGAAAAAAAAAAGAAAATTAGGAGCTGTGATGGCACAATAAATGTATTCCCTTATTCAAGGTGAAAGGATTATAATCGGTCTTTTCTCTACTTGGAGAAAACAAACGTTCACCCTCAGCATCTAGGGGCTGTTGACACCTTTGATACCTGGTCCGGAGAGGAGGAGGTCAGCACTGAGAGGGTCCCAGACACAAACACTCCAGGGACAAAGGCAAGGGCAAGGATCTAGGGGCAGTGAGTGCTTTCCTAACAGGAAAAGACCCCCTGCACAGTAGGGGAATCTAGAGTACTCAGGACATGACCAGCTGTCCTCAGAGGTGAGCCCAGGTGGCGGACACTCAGTCACTGCAGAGGAAAGAGTTTAGTAGAGGTGATTAACTACCTTGTCAGGGAGGTGCTGCTGGGAAAATCCAGTCATCTGGAATTAGAATCTTGACACCTCCTCTTCCCAAACAAGAACAAGGCTTCCTCCTTGGGGCACTTGTAATGCCTTGGAGCGCTCTAGCAAAACCGTGTCATTTATTATCATTCACTGGTTTTAGTGGATATTACATAAGGAACAATGGCACAGAATTCTTGGAGGACACAAACTCTCTGCAAGGTCAGTGTGACAAATCTCGGAATAACAAGAATCCCTTAGGATTGGAGGAGTTTCGCTCCATCATTTCCTGGGTCTCAGAGTCTTACCTGGACAGGTGATCTTTCTTACTTGTGAGCTGCCAGTGGTGTCTTGTGGCCATTGCTGATGTTTGAGGCCTGTTGTGATGCAGGCTTTGAAAATGAAAACACAAATACATTAAATTTTATGATTTAGCTCTACAAAACTCATTCAACACCTCAGTAGTTATCTAGTGTTGAACAGAAAAAAATTTGACAATACCTCCCAGAGTACGTAGTAGCAAGTGAAGATAAAGATGATGCTGTCGTGGTGCTTTGGTGCCTCAGTCAGTTGGACAGCTGCTTTCCACTCCGGTCATGACCTCAGGGTGCTGGGATGGAGCCTCGCATCAGGCTCCCTGCTCGTTGGGAGCCTGCTTCTCCCTCATTGTCTGCCTGGTGCTCTGCCTACTTGTACTCTCTCTGTATCTATCTCTCTGTCAAATAAATGAATAAAAACCTTAAAAAAATGATTTTTTCATATGAGGCCAGGTTCAAATTCAGTACACTAAAAAAAAACACATGTTAAGTAAATAATTCCAGTTTTCACTTACATTTAGCAATCTGGATTGATTGGAAATATTCAGGTACATTGAAATCATTATGTCCTTTTAGAAATTGTTAATTTGCATATGTACTCCATATACTACACTGTATACATGTAAAGAAATTATAAGTCACTCATCGAGTTTACTTATATACATAAGCATCAATAGCTTTAAAATATAACTATTAGCTTAAAATTTTTAGTCATCCTGGAACCTGATTTGGATAAACATTTCCCTTTTTTTTTTATCTTAAAGCACAGAAAAAAATACAATATATAATGATATATACTGTGTCCCCCTGCTATTAAGTTTTCTTGGACGTTTCAATTAAAAACCATCCAAAAAGATTCTGGAGGCAAGGATAATACTTAAAGAAAACAATACATGGTTGAAAAATCCATGCTCCAAACCCAAGTAGAAAGTGTAGAAAGGAAAGCAAAAAGAGAAGTAGAAAGTGAGGGACACAATCAGAAATTGAAAACTCCTATGTCCCCTACTTAAGCCACAGGCACAAGAGATGTTCAGAGAAGCTAGAGCCACAGGTCCCAGATGTGCCAACCCCAGTCAGGCCAACAGCATCTGCAGGATATCCCACGGCCCTGCCCAGCTGCTTCTTGGTGGTCCTGGTGGTGCTCAGCTGCCTCTCTCTTATCTCCCTGGGATGTGACCTGCCTCAGGAACACGGACTGATGCATTGGAGGGCCTTGATGCTCCTGCGACACATGAGGACACTGTCTGCTAGCTCCTGTGACAAGTACGCAAACGACTGTTTCCCCCAGGAGGTGTTTGACGGCAAGAAGCTGCAGAAGGCTCAAGCCCTCTCTGTCGTCCATGTGACAAACCAGAAGACTTTCCACCTCTTCTGCACAGAGGCCTCACCTGCTCCCTGGAACACGACCCTCCTGGAGGAGTTGTGCTCGGGACTTTCTGAGCAGCTGGGCCACCTGGAAGCCTGTCCCCTGCAGGAGGTGAGGGTGGGAGAGACGCCCCTCGTGAATGGGGACTCCATCCTGAGGAACTACTTCCAGAGAATCTCTCTCTATCTGCAAGAGAAGCAATACAGCCCTTGTGCCTGGGAGATGGTCCGAGCAGAGATCATGAAACCCTTGTATGCATCAACAGCCTTTATAAGAGATCGAGGAGCAGGAAGTGACACCCCTTTCAATATGGAAATGATTCTCTCTGAAGAATACTATCACACTCCCAGGTGTGTGTAGTGTCAAGGACTCTCAATTCTTTTGTCATCATGACGTGAACTGAATCAATTTGTCACATGTGTTCAGGAGTATTAGGCAACTTAAAGTCAACGTTACAAGCACCTGTTGCTTTCAGATGACCATGCTGATCTGCCTATTTAACTATTTATTTATTTCACTATTTGTAAGATTTAAGTTATTTTTTT